TCGTTGGTCTGCCCTTTGCCATCGGCCCTTGGTGCTCACAGTCCCCCTGTGGTACTTGCTGGACTGGACTGGGACTCTCTAGACTCTTCTGCTTGTAGGCAGTCGTACCGTCGACTCAGTGCAGTTGCACTGAGGTCCTACCTGTTGACCTTGCCACTTGTCTTCGTCTGAAAACGTGGGCCTMCCTTAGACTCACCACTTGACCACTTGCCGACCTTCTAGAAGGACTACAGCTAGGCCTCTGGACTCTACTTGGACTCCCACCTTACAGGTCTACAGTTCGAATCTCCCTACAGCCTACAACCTACGGTGACCTACTTACCACTGGCTATCGYGCAGGTCACGGGTTCARTTCCAGGGAACTGTGCAGATACGGTACACAGGTAAGCTGAGGTCAAGGGATCGACCCCTGGGATCTGCATCGGCTACTGCCAAAGGTGAAAACTGTTTCAACATGATTCGTTGGACTCATATTTGGTATTCGTGAGGTGCAGTTACTTTCCGAATCTCGTGCATTTAAAATGTGTGGTGTCAGTATAAAAACTCGGCTTGCCTCATTTTATGATGAGGTGGACTCATCTCACTACACACACACACACACACACATGATGATAACACCACTACTCTCTTTTGAGTCTCTTTAAATTTTGCTTTGAGACTGTACGTCTTTTTGATTCTGTTCGTTTCGGTTTTGAGTCAGTTTGAACTTTGAACTTTGAAGTCAATTTGAGACTCTGAGTCTGTTACACAAGTTTTTGAGTCTGTTTGAGCCTCTTATGTGTTTGTGTGAGTCTCTTTCTAACCTGCTTTAGTCTACATGTCCGTTTGAGTCTGTCTGATTCTCTGATTGTGAGTTTGTTTCACTCTGTTTTTAGTCTCTAGGTCTATCTCAGTCTGTGGAATTCCGTTGTGAACCAGCTTGAAGGCTGTTTGAGTCTGTTATGGGCCAATTTGACTCAGTTTGAGCCTCTCTTGAGGCTGTTTGAGTGTGTTTTAAGTTTGAACTCTGCTTAAGTGCACACGTCCATTTGAGTCTGTCTGCTTCCGTTTTCAACCTGTTCTGAATGTGTTTGAGACTTTTGAGTCTGTTTTTAATGTTCGAGTCTGTTTTGACTGTGTTTTTTCCCCCCTCTGACTTTGGTTAAGTGTGTCTGATTTTTTGTCCGTTCTCCGTTTGTTTCGGTATATTACTATATTTTGAGTCTGTCGGTCTGTTAGAGTCTGTGCAGTTCTGTTCCAAGTCAGTTTGAACTTTGAAGTCTGTTTGTATGGGACTGTTTGAGTCAGTTTTAGCCCGTTTTCAGTGCCTTTTGAGTCTGTTTTAGTCTACAGGTCCATTTGAGTCTATGTGAGCACTTCCAGTGATATTTTCCTTTTTTTTTTTTTTTTTATGCGGGCATTGCCCCGCACCACGGGCGCTAAGCTAGTATGTATGACAGTTTGCGATCGTTGACGCATGGTTCCCTCCCTCCCTACTCGGTGTTTTTGCCCTGCGAGCTGTGTTATTCCTTGGGCTGCCACAGCCGAAGCTTGGCCCCGAACCTTATGTTCTACGTGTTGGTGATAATATCAATATCTGCAACAAGGTTTCCCTTACATGCATTGCACAAAAGAGGATTTTGATAAGAGGCAAGTGCATCTGAGTCCATCCACTCGAGTTATTGCACCATAGCCTCGGAACAATATTCGACCTAATCTACAAGACCTTTTCACTGCAGAAAGCACAAGCAGGAGTTACATCGCAATAATCATTATTAAGAAGCACCCGAGGAGAACAGGATAAGACCAAAAAGAATGAGGAGAGAACAAAAGAAGGAAAACAAGGAGGCCAGGAGCAAGCATTTGTGCCTGCCCTGTCCTGCCCTGCACTACAAGCCCCCTCAGCTCCTTCGAGGCATAGGCCACTGGAGGAGAGAGATGGAAAAGGCGAAGCATCAAGAAGAAGAAGTAAAAGAAGAAGAAGAAGAGTAAAAGAAAAGTATGCGAGCCCTTCTTTCCACACCAACAAGAAGAAGAAGAAGAAGAAGAAGAAGAAGAAGAAGAAGGACGAGGATAGCGAAGGGCGAGGAAAGCGGGAGGAGCAGATGGGCAAGGACGACAGGAGAAGGACAGTATGACATCAGGATGGATAAGGACACGGAGAGCAGAGGAAGCAGGGGTTTTACATTCTCGCCCCACTCCTGTTCTGCCCTGTCCTCCCTCCCCCAATTTGCTAGTATATACAGTACATGGGAATTAGGGAGAAGGATGTCGACTAGCCAAAGCTCAGAGAAACATGTAGCATGTCGATCTGCTGCAGCCTCCCCTTGCCTACCTATTCTCTACTCATTCAGCAGCAGCCATCCCCTCCAACACTCACGCCTCCTCCCCTCCTCCTTTTCCCTCATCTTTTTTCCCCCTGCACTATTGCTTTGATCCTCTCCACAACCACACCCATCGTGGGCCTGTTACTAGCATCTGCATCAGTGCAGAGCTGACCCAGCTTGGCAACGGCACACAGCGTCTCCCTCTCCCAGTTGCTCCCTCCAGGGACTTCAAAAGACTGAACAAGCTGCGGGTCCACCATCTTGCTCAGCAGCTCATAGTCCCAGTTTGACACCCTCTCAAACCTCCTCCGGGTCCAATGGACCAAGAGAACGGGTTGATGACCGCCATCGCTATCGCTGTCACTGGGAGCGTCATCGTGTGTACCTACATCGTCGTCATCCTCGGATTTATCTCTACTACTATTCCAGAAGAGAGCACTCTTCCCACTGACCATCTCCAGCAGAATCACACCGAACGCGTATACGTCATTCTTGGCGGTGAGTTTCAATTCAATGGCATACTCAGGAGCCATGTACCCAACCGTGCCGGCTCGGTAAGCTGTCTGCACAGTTTCCCGACCTCTTTCCAAGCCTGAGCTCGGGTTACCGAGCTTCGCAAGGCCAAAATCGGTCAGATATGCCTTGACCTGCTCTCCGGAGCCATGGACAAGGACATTGCTGCTCTTGATGTCCCGATGCAAGAGTGGGGGATCCAACTCCTCGTGGAGATACCTCAAGGCAGTCCCAATCTGCAGCACAACTGACAGTCGCGACCTCCAATCCAAGGGAGCACGAGGGGGAATAGAACAGGGAGCAGGAGGAGCTCCTGGAGTAGAAGACGGCAGGGGCTGGGCAGAGGGCCGAGAACGAGGGTGCAGACGATCATGTAAACTGCCACCCGAGACAAAAGGGTAGACAAGGACAACCATGTTTCCCTCGGCACAGTAGCCGAGAAGCTTGCAGAGATGGACATGGCGAGCTCGGCTGAGAGTGGTCACTTCGGAGATGAACTGCTTGCGTTTGAGTTTGTCCAGCGCACCCCTCATGACCTTCAGCGCCACGTCAGCCATCTCCCCCTTTTCACCTCCTACCCTCAAGGTTGCCCGGTACAGGTCACCGAACCCGCCCCTTGCTCCCACCACCTTGTGTGTATCGCTAAAGCCATCTGTTGCCTCCCGCAGATCCGCAAAGGGGATACGTTGAGGGGCATCCAGATGGCCAAGCTCACGCGAGATAGACGATAGCGCTAATTGATCGCCATAGCGGAGGGAGGAAGATGTGACAGTCGTCATCCCCGAGCAGATGATTTTGGAATCATCCCAAGTCGGAGATGACAAATAGGCCTTATCATCGAGCAACTGTTGCTGATTCTTAGGCTGATGAGCTGAAGAGGAACCATTTGTGCAAATTACCGACAAGCCCCTCTTCGAGTGAAAACAGAGCATTCTACGCCACCACAGGAGGAGAGTCATAGCGACCCCTAGGAGAATGAGGGCGGCTGTTACGGACAAACCAACAGTCAACTTGAGGGTGGAATGATTTTCATTGAAGGCAGGCCGAACGTAGGGTGGAAGGGGACCGAAGCCGGGAGGGTTGGCAGGATCATCTGGGCCGCATTTGTGCAGAGCACTGCGGTTAATCGCAAATTGAAATATCTGCCCATTACTCGTTCCGACGTACAAGTCTGTATCCTTGTGACCAAGCAACAGACGGGATGGCTCGTTAACCCCGGTCCATTCAACGTCCGGACCTGGAGGAGGTGGAGTGGCCTCGTTGAAGAAGATGATGTCTTTCATCCAGGAGACATTGCCATGTGGCGAGTCGAGTGTCAGCCATCGCACCACTGACGGCAATCCCGTGGCATTGCTGTAGTTTGTCCATCCTGTTACGAAAAGGTTGCAATGATCCGAAGTTATAACGACGGCTAACGGGCCAAAGGACATGTTCACCTCCGTCATGTTCACGAAACTGAGAGTTTGCGTCACATTTGTGGTGGTGCTCACTCGCCTAATGCGCAAATTACTCCGGTCCGCAATGTATAGCACAGAGCCGTCCGATGAGATCGATCTGGGGTTGATCCGAGGACTTTCATTTCCGAATGCTGAAACCTCACCGTCCCTATTCCCTGGCAAATTACCCCCAGCTATGGTGGACCTGGATTCGGGGGGAGCCTGTTCGTCACTAAGCGGCACCATCAGTACCCTTAGAGATGCACCTATAAATAGAAAAGCATTTTTTGGATGTCGGACCATGCCGAACGGAGCCGTGGGACCAGAAATGAACTCCTGCCTTTTCCCAGTATTCACATTTACTTCGGAAATCCCCGGTTGCCCACGATAGCCAACGAGGATCCAAAGATTGTCGACGAGCATCTCCAGGCCTGTAACGCGTATGGATTCAATGACAGTGATATTCGAAACACTGTACGATGCGGGTGGTGCTTGCGATAATGGTGCCGATGGCGGGGAAGATGACGGATTAGGCAACCTGATGGCTTTACCGATCAGGCTGGTCGTCTGGATGTTGTCGCTAGCGAAGTAGATGGTTTGTTCATCTTGTGAGAGGAGAAGAGAACGAATATAACAGTTCGGACATGGAAAACTGGACAATACATTGCCACGTAGACTGAGCAGCGATTTGTCGAAGTCAAGCCCGGGGAACTGATTGGTTGTTTCTTGCTGTGTCTCCCTCCTGCCCTCTGAGTCCTTATCATCATCACCCGTCGAAAAAATGCCAATCCGGGAGTCGAACACCTCCCTCCTTGTCCGGTCGTTGTTCTCCTGCTTCTCCTCCTCCTTCTCCCCCTCCTTCTCCCTCTCCTCGTCGCCGCGGTCAAATGACATTACCTTTCGTGCTGCCAGCCCTGCAGATCGTACTCGTGGGCGGTGGGACTGGGAAGAGTCCCAGAACTGGCACTCCTTGGAGCCCGGATCTCCGGAAGCTCTGGCAACTGCTGCACACAGAGTCAGAGCAGCCAGAATGGCAAGGAGGATGATCGCAGCTATGGAGGAGGAGAGTTGGGAGGAGGAGGAGAGTTGGGAGGAGGAGGAGGAGGGAGAGGAGGAGGAGGGGTGCGCCATCTAAAAACGCCGGCAGCAGATCCGAGTTGCGACACCTTCTTGCGATGCCTCTTCTTTGTGGCCGCCGATCCCAGCGAGGAGGGGTGATGATTATCAATTATTCGTTCTGATTTAATATCATGCATGGTTTCTGGATAAGGCTAACCAGCCTTCTTGATGATGACAGTACACTAACCGCCACATTACATTTTCCAGTGTCACTCGACATCTTCAAAAATTGCAGCCGTCAGATGATCAACGTCATAATGATCATTGCCACGCTGGGAGCACGTTATCCGATTGCCAAGCCAGAACGTTGTCCCATCGCCACGTGGGAAGAACGTTATCCAATTCCCACGTTGGAACTTTATCCGCAAAGTGCTGATGTGGACATGACCTCTCCTTCAACAACCAGCCACCACCCCAAACATGTTACCTACAGTAAAAAGGACAACACGACGGTTCACACGATTGGGATGAGAATCAGATTCAGCGAATCAAAGTTGGACTATAGTACTCTAATACAAACATAATTTGATATAACTTTTTTTTTTTTTTTTTTTTTTTTTGGATATAACATTTTAAAATGCCGAAAGAACAGAAAGGATACGCAAAATTTATGGTTGTTAACCGGACGTCCGGATCCAGATTCAGACGGTCTGGTCTGGATGGTTAGGTCCAGTGTCCGGTTTGGGGTTCCGGTTGGACCCCGTTTCTAGAAAATTCGAAAAAAAAAATTGGGGCCCCCAGGCGATTTTGCAGTGCCTGGTGGACCCCCCAAAATTGTTGGCGCAGTTTTTGGTGCACCGTTGGGCCAACCGGACCGGCCCTGAAGGGCCTGTGCTTGAAATCTTGGGTGAACTTCAGCAGGCCAAGGAGAACAGGTTGTTGGAGGCATTCGCTGCCCCTCGGCGGGTTGAAGATTTCATGTTGTCTATTTAAATTTTGAAATCTATTTGACAACTTGTGCAGTCCTSTGTGTGTGTGTGTGTGTGTGTGTGTGTGTGTGTGTGTGTGTGTGTGTGTGTGTGTGTGTGTGTGTGTGTGTGTGTGTGTGTGYGTATTCAAGATAAGTCGGTTAAAACAACTGCAGCAGCGTCTGTTTTTTTTTTTTTGGTCGTTCTTAACCGGACCGTCCGGGTAGGTATGTCCAATTGTCCGGATGGGTGTCCGGATGACCAGAAGTCTTGATTAATCCAGACACAGGTCCGGGCCCGGTGTCCGGTGTCTGGATGTTCGGGTCCGGGGCAACCATGGTAAAATAATAAACTGTATAAAACCATTTTGAAAGACTCAAAAATAAAAATGATGTTTAAGGGGTTTTTTTTTTTTTTTTTTTTTTTTKTAARACCCCSCGACCACGCTAGGGGGAGTGATATGAGCATCCCCTCCTAGCAGGCCGCCTGGTTGCTCCAATCTATTGATGGGGAGCAGCACCTGCTGGAAAACGGGTCCAGCGTCCCCCTGAGATTTTCACACAGTCTCCTGCCAGCATTGATTGGCCGTATTACCGGGGATTGACTGCGCAGGCACTGTCCCATCTGACCAAAAACGGTGCTATGCCTGCAAAAAGCGACTAGGTAACACCATAATGTGTGTAGGTGCCCACTCCATCGACCTGCCTTCCCCCGTGCAGTCTTTGCCTGGAAAACACCAAGCTGCTCCGCCCAGCGGTTCTCCATCTCCGTGTCCTGTGTCTTTTCGCTTGTTCTGCACCGTACCATTGCATGTCCACCAAAGACAGTTGATGGGGAGGGAACGGGTCCGGGAACTCTGAGGGTGAGCGCAACAGCACTCCTTGGTCCACTTTAGTCCATTCCTTGAAGCAGACGCAATAGTCCCTCCTGAAGTCTTCCTGCTCCTGCCCCGGAGATTGTCTACCCTCCCATCGGATATAGGTAATCCAGCCGCCTTTTTCGTTACCCAGCCAGTCACCTGAGAATTGATTGATTGCTTGTGTGATGTCTTTCTTTGAGTGATATGTCTGTAGTTGATTCTTGACCTTCTGTCATCGTGAGAGGAGCTCTTGCTGTATATACTGTTTTTATTTATGTTAACTCCTCTCCATTCATGCGCACTCCCTCAATGGTGTATGTGCAGCGCTTCCTCCAAAGTGCCCAAATAACCGCTCTCCTCCCGATCTTGAACATGCTGTTTTCAAAATTGCTGTTCGTGGGGGAGGTCCATGCTTCACAGAGCAGCGCCCTCCAGTCCCATGGCCAAGCCAATCCAGTGCCCAGGAGGCTCCATATCCTATCCCGCCAACGCCAAGTGATGACCGCCCCTGGGCATTGTAGAAAAATATGTTCGATAGTTTCCGGGATCTTGCGGGAGGGGAAGGCATTATGGCAGGATTTACACCAGGGGAGCGCCAGGCCCTTCTGTTCCAGGTACGTGCGATCTATCAGCCAATTATTTGTTGGGAGGCAACGGTGCTCTACCTGCCACTGCAGCGAGGCGAGTTTAGCCGGTTTGGGCCTCATGGTTGAAAACCATTGGATAGGACGGATGGTCTCCTGTCTTAAGTTCAGATGGGCTATCCAGCGGGCTTTCACAATCTCTTCAAGGTTCACCTTTGGCCGCCGCAGCCGGTAAGTGGCCTTCATTTACAAACTAAAGAACTTTATGTTCGGGTTGGCTGGCGTTCTTCGTGCAGGCGACCAATGCCACTCCTCCGAGTCGAAGGGGAGTTCAGCGAGGGGTGTTTCCGGGGAGAAACTCGGTCCATTCATCATTATGTCTCAGTACACGAATTATGTGCAACTCCTCGTTCCTCCACCACCTCACCTCGTCCGGAGTTTACCTGGTGAGAACATTGCCCTTCCCCTCATGGAAGAGGCTGACCAAAGATTCGTCTGCCCGCACTTCCACCACGTTGCCAACGCTTTCCGTGTCGTTCGGGACTGCGACCCAGTCCCCTTCCGCCAGTTCCGGTCCTTTTCGAAGAGTACGCACCCAGTCAAGAGGGACATCAAAGATCAGTGTTTCTAAGTTCCTTTCAATACCATGGCAATACCTCATCTGGGCCCTCAACTGTGGCACCGTTTTCCAGTCTCTGTTCGCCGAGTCCCATATATTTTTGATCCTCGCTATGTCGTTTTTGACCCAGCTGCTCCATGGGGGTCCGAACTACGGTGCACCCTCCCATTTCTATCAGTAATACTTCTGTTGCCGAAGAGGGGTTGCCTCGTCACCTCTTCCCATCTATTCGACAGGGTTTTTTCTGGCAACGGTAGCTGGTGCCAGACCTTCAGCACCCCGGGCCAGATGTCTCAAGACTCTAAACTTATAAATTCTATAATACATAATTATAACGACCATCATCATCATCCATAATAAATGTCGTGCATAATCATAATTATTAATTATAATGAACATCATCATCATCCATAATAAATGTCGTGCATAATCATAATAACAATGAGAATAGTAATAACAGCAGTAACATAATCGACCTTGTGTGGAATGCTGTGAGTCTGCAAGAGTCTTCCAGATGCACAGGCGAATTCCCATTTTTTTCAAAGAGCCAGTCCCCTTTTTTTTAATACATAATAATAATAATGATCATTCATAGTAAATGTCGTGCATTATCATAATAACAATAAGATTATAAGAATAGTAATCACCGCAGTAACATAATGAACCTCATGTGGAATGCTGTGGGTATGTACAAGTCTCCCAGATGCACAGGCGAATCGAAATTTTTCAGAGAGTTCTTGTGTCAGTCCCATTTTTTTTAAATACTTTTTGCACAAAATTCAGGCGTCAGTGTTACGGATCTGGCCAGCGATCCCTGGACCTCATGCCTGGTAACGGACATTTATTTCTTTTCTGCTATGTCCTCCATTTTTTCATTTCTGTCCCTTGGACATCTTTAGCGGTACCCTTCTGTTACCGACGTATTTCGTACATACCCCTGAGCTCAGCCTAGCCATTACGCTGTTCCCAGATGTATGTACTGGTCTCACACACTGATCACACATCTTGTGCTGTACTTTGTTTCAGACATTGGAGTGAGTTCGGCATTGAGTTGCTGCTGGTACTCTTCTCTGAGCGTCCTCATACCAGTTGGGTTCTGTGTCAGAGTCTGGTTGTGTGTGTGAGTGTTCACTCTCTCACCCTTTTCCCTCCTCCTCGAACCCAGTGCTTGTCACACTGGTATCGGAGCAGGAATGACCCACCCTCCCACCCAGTCTGTTGTCCAAGACCCCTGCCATGTGGCAGGGCTGCGAAAGGAGCAATTTTTTCCCAGCACCTTGGTTATTCACACGGTAGCCACTGGCATAATTGCTGCCACCATTGTCGTTCCTCTTCATCACAGATTATCATCGTTTGGGTGCTAATGTTGCCATCACTATCATTGTGATCAGCATTGGCTGACGCTCATCATAACGTCAGCATCCAGTGGTGTTCATCATCTCCACTGTCTCCATCGGCCTGCTCCTCATCATCGCCATAGCCATCATCTTCGGATTTTGCCAAGCCCTCGCCACGTGCTATGGTAGCAAAGGGAGTAAAATTTTGAGCCTGGACGTCACTGCAGACACCAGTATCATCCTGGTCATCATTGGAGCCGCCTTCTTGGAAGTTGCCCTTGCTGATATTACAATCGCCTTCGATAAAGTTGCACATTCTAGAGTCATATCTGCAGAGCACACCATCATTGGAACAGTTCATCCTGGGGCACATCATCGCAATCAGCCACCTGCCCGTTGTGTTCGCCATCGCAACAGATTGGACCATCACGGCCTACGTGGTTTCCATTGTCTTGACTCAGCTTCACAACTGATTGCGACCATCCTCGACATCATCAGTCCTTGCTGCAGGCAGGCTCCCATTGTCCGCCGTCATCGTTACCACAGCCTCTAGATCTATGCCAGCATTGTCATTGCCCAGGTAAGCCCACCTTCTCTTCCTGTTATGCACATTGCCCCCTCTTTTTCCCCTTGTCACAGATATTCTCTACTTTTCTCCTCGCCATTGTCTTCTTTCTTACCCCTGTGCTTGGTACATCCTCTCTCTTGAAGTGTTTAAAAACTTTCCCCTCTGCCTCTTTTCTGATAGCTTTCTAATATCTCACCATTCCTCAAAACTGCTCCCCCCTGCTTGTGTGCTTTTCTATCCCGCTTGCATAATGCCCTTGCTTGCCGGATTCCGACAAGTACTCTAGATCGCCACTATTCGTTGTAGCATGCATATACATAAAATTTATTTAATTATTTATTTTTATTTTTTCCTTCTTTTTTTTTGGACGAAGCTCCGATCTATTCGCGGGGAGCAGCCCGTGCTGGGAACCGGGCCCAGCGTCCCTCATAAGAATACATGAGAATGATATGAACTCTGATGATACATTGGAAAGTCTGAAGCCGTTAACCAGCTACAATTAAGCGGATGATAAGAAAGATTGAGAACCACTTGAAAGCTTTCATCTACCAA